CGGCAAAAAAGTAGACACGGATTTATCGAAAAAAAAGAAATGAAGGTTAATTTTCAAAATTACATTATTATTTGTTGGTTAATTATAATGAACAACATTTATATTTTTTTGGTAAGTACCGATCCTTCTTTTTAATATAGTATTAGATTGTAATTTAAAGCTTCATACATTATCTATAAAGACATTAACCATTAAATATTTTGGATTACTGTGATATTTGAAAAAAATTGAATAGAAAAAACACCAAACATTGTGTTTTTTTATACTAAAATAATATTTTTCAACTGTCTTCGGTGGCCGTTTACATATAGAAGAAAATCCGAAAAAATGTATATATTTTTAACTATATAAGCTTTAATTTAATTTATTTAAAATTTCGGAATATTACGATTTTACAAATCGAACAAGGGAAAATTTTTCACATTTTGAAGGTAATGTATTCGGAATCTTTGTTGAAAAAAGTCGGTACAGTGAGAGCAAAGAAAAAATAATGACAGACACAAAAAAATAATATAAATAAACCAAACACGAAATCATAAAATTAGTACCTTCTCGCTTGTGCACCAAAGTTTAAAAAATCAGTTAATATAATCCACAAGCAAATTCTACATTAAATAATTTTTAAGTCTTTTCAAATAATGATTTAATTCATATAGATTTTATTTTTTTTTAATTATAAAAAAACCCTGAATACATAATGTAAAATAGATATGATTGATAGCATAAGTAATAATAACGTTTAAAATAGCAATTTCTACATATTTTATTTTTTAATTTTATCTTAGTGCGTCGTAATTGACTGTTGTAAAAATAGTTTTATTTATTTGACAATAATGAAACATTTGTCCAAAAATTGCTTAAATTAAATAACGCAATGATAAATAATTTTGTTAATAAACGGCTGTTAAAAGTGTAATACCATTACGGAAAAGTATTTTGCGTTCACAACGTGTCTTATAATTTTCTAAAATTCGATAAAAGAAAATAATCTTTTTAATGAATAAGCAAAGAGCGTTTTTATTCACAATAGTAACAATTACCATACTTGTTAAGTTAACGGCCGCTAAGAAATTTGACGATGAAACGCTCAGAAAATATGAAATTGTGAAAAATGAATACATACATTTTGATTATGGAAATGTCACGACGAAATTTGGAAAATTTTTCATTGAAACAATTGCTTTGAATCGCAAACGTAGATATAGCTTTTTAAGGAACATTGCTTACCCGATGGCTCGCAGAGGTCGTACGAACAAGTACATATTACTCGTAGCTATGTACAGTGTCCACATAGTGTATTTGACAGAAGATGGTTCTATGAATGACACAATTTACAGTCTGATGAAAACGACTATCGACGCCGTCTTGGAGAGAATAACAGGTTTTCTACAAAGAGAGCAATTAGTATTTTTAAGGGATAATTTAAGTTACAAGTACCCACAGAAATTTTTGAAACGGTTACAAACAATAGTAGTAACTCTTTTCAATCATATTATCAAACCATCGAACTGGTCCAATTTTGATACAGTGGATCGTCTTATGAATTTAGAATTTTTTAGTAGCCTATGCGATGAAAATAATGATTTCATATTGGATCTTTTTCAACCCGAAATCAAGTCACGAGATAAACTATTAGGAACCCTCGAAAAAATCGTAATGCATGTGCAAACCGAACTTCATGATTTCTGATTTTTTGTACTAAAACAATATCACGAGGACTAGTAGTTATTTAATTCCATTTGACACAATAACGAATTAAAATGATGTACCTATTGTATAATATCTCGTCTCAACAAATCTAAAGTATTGTCAATATTAACGATATTTAATTACTAATAACATATTACGATAGCGCATAAATATTTATATTAATTAGACAGTTTGTTTTATTATTTTAATTTTTTCATGATAATTTTTAATTTACGTCAAATATAATAATAAAAAAATAAACCTCGTTTAGTTAATAAATAAAGTTGTTTTTTATTTGTATTATTATATTAAATCCATCTTAGTATTTATTAGTGCAATGTATTATATTAAAATTTTCAATTTCCATTGAGAAAATAATCAATTGTGTAACAGTGCAAATTTGTTTGGGCGTCCGTTTCAGGCGTTATCGTTACTGTGATTATTGAACTGTTATCACCACCATGAGTTTGTTTTACTCATCATATTGAACTTTTTAATCCTTCGAACTGACAGCCATCCAATAGGTCTTGGCCGAAAAATAGGGTAAGCAACCTGCTGACTGATCGGCGAGATGAGAGACAAACGATAAAGAATCGGTAGGAATAGTTTCGTCAAAAGTCGTTATTGATCCTTAGCCGTATCACATAAATTTCTTAACTTCGATCTGGCGGTATGTCATTAAATAAAAAAAAACCAGATTTGAATGTTTATCATAAAACAATTAAACGACACCGACGTGTGTTGTGACAAAACATAATATTACTCAAATTTACCAAGTCCGGTCATTTTATTGCTCCGTTTTAATGTTGTGAATAATCAATAGTTCCGTGTTATTTTAGTCCACAACTTGTTTATGACTCCTTGGATCGATTTAATCGAATAATACAAGTCATAAGGTACCACCTCAGTCATTTGACCGGTGTAATATGATATCTAAATCGACACTTGGAAAAACTATTAGTCGCATGAATTAAAAGGGAACGTGAATGGAAATGATGGCTGTAAAAATAATGAAGTATAATTATTTAACTAGTTTTTTTCAATAATGAAACCTAATATCTCATTCTATTGAAACCGTTTAACAGACATAATACTTGTCAAGTGATTTATCAGCAAAATTTTGCGTTTACATTTTTCGAAAGACCCATAAAAAAAAAAAAATTTAATTTGTATGCAATTATACACTGCGTGCGTTTATTAATTGCATACGAATTAATTAATAAGCAATTCATTGCGGATACAATCCACATTATTCGGGTAATTTTTTTAGTAAAAAATTTCAAACACGCTAAAAGTATTGCAATCAAAGAATAGCATCGTTTTGTTGGTCAGAGACTTCTCAAAAGTAACACCGGAGGAAGAAGGTACCTAAGCTCGAGGCGATTTTTTACGATGCCAACAATTTGTGATCCCAAAGAGTTTCTCTTTGCGAACAAGCCGTCGCTTGTCCTCCGAAAGGCAAACCCGTTTTTCGGTCATCATGACGCAGCTCGACAACAGCAGCAATTCAGTAACAATAATGATAATAACAACAGTAATAATCAGTGTTGATGGTACTCCGGATTACTTCTTCTGCGGCTGGCGAGTATTTGAAAAATATATAAAAAAGGTTTTTATAAAAACGTGTTGACTATACGTCATCGGTAAGCTCGTCAACGTTTCGCCGAGTGCAAACGACCCACACTCGTTCAATTGACATTTCGCAGCGGTGGCCAACGTTATTTTTATGGTGTGATTTTTTTTTTGTTCAAAAAAGATACGCTCACGTGTAAACGGGTTTAAATATTGTCTGCGTCAAGGCCGCGGTGCGAAAAAACCACAGAACGTAGTGAAGTATTTTAAATAAAAACATCAATTTGACAAAACGAATAATTATAAATTGTCTTGCATTTTTTTTTACAAAAATCTGTTTTTTTTAAATATAAGAAACTCATTATTGAATTTTTAAACGGATTAAATTGTTCGCGAGATCTATTTCGAGTGATTTGTTCGGTTTTATTAAAAATTACGTGAAATAAAAAAACCAACAGCAGTTAAATTCTACGATACTAGTAATTACTTGTACGACTAGATACATTGCGTTGGTCTAAGACTCATCATAACAAGTTTTTAATAATATTCTAATAAATGAAGTATAATTTGAACGGCGAGTCATGGACGACAGTTTTTATAATTCATGGCGAGTTGGCACAATAAAAAACTCATCGTATCAATAAAATATAAAGTTTTACACAAAAATGAATTATTCATAGATTTTGAGTAAAAAAATTATTACTTTGTACAAATTATTAGACGAATCGAATTGCGAATTTATTATTATATGGACAATTTTGCAATGTCATTTAAAACGAATTTGCTATTTGTAGAAAAATACAATGAAACGTGTCACGAGCAGACACCACGATGTTTAAATTAGCGTGTGATGATTCTGAAAAATACATTGAGCGTACGAAAAAAAGGAGGTTTTGCCACCAACGTAGTGCGTCTTCGCGAATGGCTTTTGTTTCCGATAAATTTTTAGAAGCACTAGGCTTAAGGAAAAACAAAAACACAAGTGATAAACCCATAGCTGTATGCCGTACGGTATATTTTTTTAGTATAAATGGTTTCATCGACAAACTCGTACAAGTTCTGGAAAACATAACAACGACATAAGATAAACAGACTGTTAAAAATGATTCCTATTTATTCACAATATTATGTAGATACGTGGGAAGATAACAAATCGTTAACAACACAGTTTCTTTGAATGTATTAATATCTTCATCTAAGATAAGACACAAAAGACCTTAAGAAGAAAATTACTATGTAGTCCAATATCAACTCGATAGAAAAAATAATCGTAAATTACAACCAATTTAAGTATCAATTAAATTCGTTTTTATGTTATACAGTTAATTAGATAATAAACTTATTGGTGAACCACTAGTTTTTATATATGTCTGTTGTTATCAACCCAAACGTTCTGTCGGTCGAATCCGTAAAACGACTCTTTTTATGACATGTAATTTCCGATTCCTTTTTTTTACAAATAATATTATTTCTGTAACAATATTTAACGTTTCACAGAACGACCGACAATTATGAGCGTTTTAACCGAGTTGGTCGATAATAATGTGTGCAGGACGTTGTTATGTAAATCGTTAACGGCAATGAATTGATACCGGTTTTTTATTCTATAATAGTTATAATAATTTTCCAATCCGTTTTTATTTTTACCACGACGTCTTAAATTACGATTGAAAAGCATATTTATAATATAATTACAATACGGTAGACAAAAAAAAATCGCCAGTCATTATTTTTCCATGCAAATGCCGAGTGGGCCAATCGCTCGTGAAACACATCCAACACCTTCTAACGAGGCGCTTTTTTTTTTTTTTTATTGTCGCATAACATATTATGGTGTGTGCATAATATATTATTACTGACTAATATTATACGACTGTATAATAAACGAAGCGTTGACACCGTACACGCAACGGGGTAATGAAAAACGACTGGCCAATATACCAATACCGTATGGAGTGGAGTTAAAAAAATAAAATAAAATAACAAAAATCGTAACAGGGCGCGTGATGGCCGGGCGACAGGTCATGTGACGGCGGTCTCTCGTGCATGTGTTAAAAAAATAAAACAAATAGATGTCGACTTGCACTTGTCACGTGATGTATCCGCTGCTCGTGACCGTCCGAGTAGGAATTACACGTTTAATTAAAAATAATTAATAAAAGGAGAACAGAAAGATCACGCCGACAAGTTGACCGGCCATCGGTCGTGTCATACGCATGATGATGTTCGGGTCTCATCACGACTCAAATATTAATGTAACACTTTTCATACTCGACAATGGACCAGCCCTCCCCCTGCCCTCTCCGCAAAGCTACGGGATCCGACGGACGGGCGAAAATCAAACGGCCGCGACGTATCGTTTCGCTCGTATGTGCGATCGTTTTTTAAATATTGTATACATAAGTCATGTGTACACACACACACACACACATTACACGTATGTATAATAATAATAATAATAATGGGAATGTGAATAGGAAGACAAGACAAAAAGAAATAGTCGGGCACGACTATAGTAATAATAATAATGATAATGATATATGTATAAATCACATACACACGCGCGCGGTTCTTCTATATAATAAAACGACGACGTTCATTCACACCGAACCGGCGGTGATGACGGCGGCGTAGGTAATAGGCGGCCGTGGAGGTGGTGGCGGAGGATGATCGATGAGCTGCCGCGAGCCCGGTTTTGTTGCGGCAACGTGAAAAATTTGTGGTCGACCGTGTTGTGTGAACCGGTGGCGTTGACAAATATTTTCGTCGGTCCCCCGACTGTAACGCGGCCGTTCTTGTTGTTGTTATCGTACACTTTCCTACGGGTTGAAAAACGGCCATTTGAATACGAATGGAGGCGACTACACGAGCGGCGGACGGTATAAAATATGTCGTGCAGCTCCGGGCGTCCCGGCGGTTTGGCGGTCACGAGAAACGCGCATAAGACAACAAGAATCTCGAGCACACACCAACTCTGCGGTGTCGCGCGAACCCTTAAGCGGAAGGCGCCGCACAGCGGTCCGCACCGGCGATGACAATAAAACACAATTAATGATTAGTGACTGGGACCAGACCGAGTTAAAAGATAACCAAAATAAATAGACCCGAATTCGGTGAAATGTCCAAAAACGGACGGCACCTGCCCAGCGCTATCAACTGGAATCGTTCGCCAACGCCATTTCGGTTGTCACAGCGGTGATTTTTCGCAAGTGTCCCCCCAACGATTATCGTCGATCACTATTTTTATCGCGGTTTTTATCTATTACAACGCGTATATAGTTTCATTCCTGTAACGTGTTAACGGCACCGTAAATCAAAATCGAAAATGTGTTCATTTGAAATTAATGAACTTCACGCGTTCAGTTTTACCTGTTTTTTACCGCGTTGCACGTGTCCCCGACACTTGCGACGAGCGCGTTACATTTCTGAAGGTAATTATCGGAGAGCTAATAGTTGTTCGTTTTTATGTAACAACAGTCGGACGGCGCACTTTTTTTTTATCGGCGAAAACCAAATTGTAATAATCGGTCACACGTCAACGATTTTCTTCTACCGACACTCTTATGAGTAATTAATTATAAAACAAGTTGTTTGGGTAAACTGGGAACAATTATCAAAATTGCTCATTTTTAGTAGTAAACTTTTAGTAGGTAACATAAAACTTGACTATGAGCAGAATACTTGTTCGATTTGTTCGCTATTTTTCCTTAATGACATTTTTAATCGTGAAATCGGTTCGTTTGTTTGGAATCACACTATATCATGTTAAATTGCCCAACATAAATCATTTACCATCTAAGATATACAACATTTTGTGATAAAATATTTCCAAATAAACGACAAATGGCTAAAATTACACTAAAATTGCTGGGAAATTAAATTATTACCATACTTAAAGGAAAACTGTTTAATTCCGTACTCGCAAATGCAACACGTAATCTTATAATATTTCCAATTGTGATAAAATTTTTATTCATTTTTTCATTATTAAAAATTTAAAAAAAAAAAAATCCGCGTAAATGATTTAAGTATAAATATGATATGTACACAAGTAAATAATAATGTTAAAATTAAAAATGGAATTAAACAATTTCTGAATTCTTATTGTGCTGTTAAATGGTTATAAATTACATTTCTATTTACAGATTTCCAAGGAGTGAATCGATAGCTCTAAAATTGTTTAAATAAAACATTTCTCAATAGCACTACAGAATAAAAAGGTGATTGAAAAGACAAAACTTCAATAGATTCATTTTAAGTTCATAACGTATTGTATACGNCTCAATAGCACTACAGAATAAAAAGGTGATTTAAAAGACAAAACTTCAATAGATTCATTTTAAGTTCATAACGTATTGTATACGTTTTTAAAATTGGCGTAAAGAAAATAATTATTTTTTTGATGAAGAAGAAAACAATGTTTTTATTCGTGATATTAACAGTAACGATTTTTAATAAGTCAAATGGCATTCCAGATGATAAAACACTCAAAAAATATATTGTGGCCCAAAATGAAAACGTGTGTTATAATGATGTTATCAGTACATTTGGAGTTTTTTTGAAAGAAGCGATTGAAATGAACGATTCAGCCAGATTTAATTTCATAAAACATCATGCTTTTCCGGATGCTTATGGGGTTCGAACGCGAAAATATATTGTACTTGTAATTAAGTACAGTCTCGAAATATTAAAAAATACCATAGATTTTTCTATGCATAACAAAATTCGCACCCTTATGCAAGTGGTTTTTGAAAAAATGACATTGGTAACATTAGGAGAAGTATATAGACGGCAGATAACTTTTTTTCAGAAACATTTACTTGAAAAGTACCCTTATAAATTTATTAAACGATTGCAAACAATATCAAACATTCTTTTGCTACTTTTTACTAAACCACCTCACTGGTTCGGGCCATTCGTTGAATCAGATCGTCTTATGAACATCGAATTATTTAAAACCCTATGTATTACAGAAGAAGATTTCATAGTGGACATTTTTAAGCCAGAAATCATGACACGGGACCAACTATATGAAACCCTTCAAAAAATCGTAGGACTTTTGTCTATTAAAAATCTCAATTATTTTTAAATATATATTACATCATATTGTAACCATAATTAAC